CCCCCCCCCACGTTAATTACGGCACCCCTCCCAGATCGCTGTGCAGAACCCGCTGGTGTCGGAGCGCCTGGAGCTGGCGGTGCTGTACAAGGAGTACGCGCAGGACGACCACATCTACCAGCAGAAGATCAAGGTAGGCACCAGTGCACACCAGTACACACCAGTATGGCACTGGAGGTGTCCCCACGGCACCCTGGTGGCACCGAGAGCCCCTTTCAGCTCTTCTATCCCTTTGGGGTGTCCCCATGTCCCCTCAGTGTCCCTTGGTGTCCCTTTGGGCTGTCTGTTTCCGGTGTCCGTTTCGGGTGTCCCCGTGTCCCCAGGCTGTCCCCATATCCCTTTAGGAGTCTTTGTGTCCCCTTGGTGTCCCCATGTACCCCAAGAGGTTCTGGTGTCCCCAAGCTGTCCCTGTGGCCTTTTAGGGTGCCTCCATGTCCCTTTAGAGGGTCCCCATGTCCCCTTTAGAGCGTCCCTATGTTCCTCTGGGGTGATCTCACGTCCCCCAGGGGGTCCTGGTGTGTCCTCTAGGCTGTCCTTATGTCCCCTTTGGGGTCTCTCCACGTCCCCTTCCCCTCAATGTCCCCATGTCCCTTTAGCACCTCCTCATGTCCCCTTTGGGTGTCTTCATGTCCTCTTCGTGTCCTCCTGTCCTTTCTGGGTGTCCTCATGTCCCCTTGGTGTCCCTGTATCCCTTTGGGTGTTCTCATGTCCCCTTGGGGTCCCCCGTTGCCCCTTTGGCTGTCCTCCTGTCCCCTTGGTGTCCTCCTGTCCCCTTGGTGTCCTCCTGTCTCTTTGGCTGTCCTCCTGTCCCCTTGGTGTCCTTTCTGTCCCCTTTGGGTGTCCTCCTGTCCCCTTGGTGTCCTCCTGTCCCCTTTGGTTGTCCCCACATCCCTTTGGATGTCCTCACATCCCCTTTCCCACACCCTCGGCATCCCCTTGATGTCCCCACACCCCTCCGACCCACCCACCCTTTCCCGTACCCCTGCCACCCCGCAGCGCTCCCACGTCCCCTGACGTCCCCTCTGTCCCCTCATGTCCCTTTTGGGTCCCTTCTGTCCCCAGGACCTCCTGCAGAAGTATTCCTACATCCGCAAAACGCGGCCGGATGGGAACTGCTTCTACCGCGCCTTCGGCTTCGCTCACCTGGAGGCGCTGCTGGAGGACAGCCAGGAGCTGCAGCGGTGGGTGCTGCTGTCCCCACATCCCCCTCCCCCCCCCCCCATGTCCCCCACCCGTGTCCCCAAAGCTCGGTGCCATGGTGCCACCCCCTGTTGTCCCACAGCTTCAAGGAGATCTCAGCACGCAGCAAGGACGAATTGGTGGCCCAGGGCTTCACCGAGTTCACGATCGAGGATTTCCACAACACGGTGGGGACGCCGGGGGGGTGGGGTGGGGGTGGGGGGGGTCGCTGGGGTTGTGGGGTGGGGGGATGCGTGGCAGCGGCGTGGCCCCACTTGTGGGGTGTCCCCGTGTCCCCGTAGTGTCACCACGTGTTCTCGTGTCCCTGTGGTTTGTCCCCGTGTAACGCCGTGATGTCACACGTGATCCCATGTATGACCCTGTGATGTCTGTAGCTGCTCGTGTGGTTTGTCCCCGTGTAACCCCGTGTGTGACCCCGTGGGAACACGTGTGACCCCGTGTGTGATCTCGTGTATGATTCCATAGTGACACATGTAACCCCCGGTGACATGTATGACCCCATAACCACGCGTGTGACCCCATGGTGATGCGTGTAACCCCATGTATGACCCCACGGTGACATGTGTGACCCTATGATGACGCATGTAGCCCCATGTATGACCCCATGGTAACACGTGTGACCCTATGTATGACCCCACAGTGACACATGTAACCCCATGTATGACCCCATGGTGACACGTGTGACCCCATGATGACACATGTAGCCCCATGTGTGACCCCACAGTGGCACATATGGCCCCATGATGACACATGTAGCCCCATGTATGACCTCACAGTGACACATGTGACCTCATGATGACACATGTGACCCCATGTATGACCCCACAGTGACACATGTGACCCCACGATGACACATGTAACCCCATGTATGACCCCATGATGACACACGTGACCCCATGTGTGACCCCACGGTGACACGTGATGCCACAGTGATGCGTATAACCCCGTAACGATGCGTGTGACCCCCAGCCATACACGTGAGCCCACACATAACCCTATGACCCCCCCCTTTTGACCCCCCTCCCCTGCAGTTCATGGAGCTGATTGAACGTGTGGAGCGCGGCGTGCCGCTGCCGGAGCTGCTGGCAGCCTTCAACGAGCCCAGCACCTCAGACTACCTGGTGGTTTACCTCCGCCTGCTCACCTCAGGCTGCCTCCAACGCCACCGCCGCTTCTTCGAGCAGTTCCTGGAGGGCGGACGCAGCATCAAGGAGTTCTGCCAGCAGGTCGGGCCGGGGGGGGCCTCGCATGAGGCTCGAGTGCACTCACAAAGGGCCGGGGGGCCTTGCACGGGGCTGGTGTGCACTCACAAGGGGCTGGGGGGCTTTGCACAGCACTCGTGTGCATTCACAAAGGGCTGGGGGGCTTTGCATGGGGCTCAAGTACACTCACAAGGGACTGGGGGGCTTTGCACGGCACTCGTGCACTCACGAGGGGCTGGGGGGGCCTTGCACGGGGCTCGTGTGAACTCACAAGGGGCTGGGGAGGCCACTTACAGGCCTTGTGTGTACTCACAGTGTGCCTGTGGGGGCTATGGGGGGCTTGTGGGGGCCGGGGGGGCCTTGCACTGGGCACGTGCACACTCACAAGGGGCTGGGAGGGCCTTGCACAGGGCTTGTGTGCAGTTACGGGTTTTTGGGGGCCTGGGGGGGGGGGGGCTTGCACGGGGCTTGTGCACACTCACAAGGGGCTTGCGTGTATCCTCACATGGGGCTTGCACACCTTGTGCGTGCTCTCATGGGACTTCTGCTTGCTCAGAGCTTGCATGGCCCAGAGCACCATTTGCACGGTTTTGCACTGCCCCCAAACACCCCTTGCACGACCGCCACGACTCCATCAAGCCTCCCACTCCCCCAAACACCCATCGCCTTTTTCCTTGCACGCGTCCTCCCCCCTTGCACGCCCTCTCCCCCCCTTGCACGCCTCCCCACTCCCCAAACCGCCTCTCTCACGGCTTTGCCCGCCCCCCAACCCCGCCGCCTCGCACGCCGCTCGTGCACAACCCCTTTTTTCTCCCCGGCAGGAGGTGGAGCCCATGTGCAAGGAGAGCGACCACATCCACATCATCGCGCTGGCGCGGGCGCTGCAGGTGCCGGTGTTGGTGGAATACATGGACCGGGGCGAAGGCGGCGCCACCAACCCCCACGTGTTCCCCGAGGGTTCACAGCCCCGCGTCTGCCTCCTCTACCGCCCCGGCCACTACGACATCCTCTACAAGTGACCGCGCGGCCTCGCACGAGTCCCCCGAGGGCTCTGCAGGGCTTTGCACGAGGCCTGCGGGGTTCTGCGCGGCTCGCCGTGGCTCCATGAGGTCTTCATGCGAGTCTCATGGGCCTTTGCACGGCCGTGCGTGGCCTTGCACGAGTCCTGCAGGTCCCTGTCAGGCCTTGCACAACCCTCCAGGGTCTCGAGCAGCCTCACGATGGCCTCGCACGAGCCCTGCTGGGCCTTGCACGAGTCCCCGTGCGCTCTCGCACGGCCCTTGTGCATCCCCCCTCCCCCTCGGTTCCAAATAAAGATGTGGCCCCCCCTCCTTGTGCGCGTGTTTATTGGAAGGGGTGCAATGGTTGTGCTTGGGGGGGGAGGGGGGGGAGTTGGGACGTGGTGCGAGACGTGGTCCCCGTGCAAGGCGTCCTCGTGAGAAATCCCGCTATGAACTCACATCCTGCACACTCGTGCACGGGCCTTTGCACGCGTCCTGCCGCCTCCTGGGACCCCCAGTGCCCCCCCACATCGCCAGAACTGCCCGGGGGGGGGGGGGGGGGGGGGGGGGGGCACATAGTGCCTTCATTTTGTGCAAGCCCCGTTGGACCTCATGCACCCCCC